TGTCTTAATGAAGTAAAATAAAAAAATAAAAAAATATAATAGAGCCTTCTGGTTTTTAGAATATTAAGCTTGAATGTTTGATAAGAATATGTCTTCAGTCTGGATTTAAAGCTGCAGTTGATACTCGTGTTACTATCACTTTTACAGAGCTACCTTAGATTTGTCCTGAAAGCATTTTGTTAAGATTTAGAAATGAGTAAAAAAAAAAAACCCAATTCTGTGCCTGTCCAGCATCCAGAAGAGATGTTAAAACTGTGACGATGCAGGCTGTTCTTTTGGTTATGGTCAGAACACTTTCTCAATTTTTGCTCAATTTCCAATAAGCTCAAGTAATACCAACTAAATTACCTAGAAGTAGAAAGGACAGATATGTCAACCCTGCTGCTTAAGACCTTTTCAAGGAGAAAAACAAATGGCTCTAAATGTTTGTAACGTAGCTTTACCTAATTCTGTTGTCGACATGTTGACCCAGCTGTGCTCTCCCAACAGCATCGTCACCATGGGAGACCTAAATCCATCACCGGATATTCGACTAATCTTGGCTAGGCGCTGAGCCCCCAGTCCTTTGGCCACTGCACTCCACAGCTGTGGATCTTACATAAAGTAAAAAAAAAAAAAAGATCAATTAAAGTCCTCATGAATGATCTTTTTTTTTTTTTTTTTAATCCTGGTAAAACAGTAACAGTACCCATTTTCTTCCACAGTGGCAGGTTGAAACTGTTGTCTCCCAGCAGGACTAGGTCTCCATGCCTCTGGAAGCTACGAGGGAGGTCTGCCCGCAGCTCCTCCGACCATCTTTCACCATGACATTGAAACAGCTCCTGCAGGATTTTCTCTAGTTTATTACCACTTGGCTTTCCTTTATTCTTATAAGGCAACAGAGGAGACTGTGGAAAGAAACAAGAGAGAGAAAGCAGGAGATCCTTATAATAGTACTGGACTGCAGTGTAGTGTGTTGCTGATGGTATTCCAGTGAAGATTTGCTTGTATTACCTGACTCCAAACGACTTCACAGGCATTGTCTGAAGCCACCATACTCCTGAGAGATTGCAGATCAACATGTGACACACAAGATGGTGAAATGGGCAAAAGGACAGTCTCATCCGAGTCTTTCATTACACACAAACTCAAGTCCAGAGCTCCTTTGGACTGAAGGCGTTTTCTGCACGACGAAACATCCAAAAAAAAAAAAAAAAGTTCAATCCAGTTTGATGAAGAAAATAAACAATAACGAGTTATCACACAATCTTTTCAGTGCACACACTGTTTATTGTCTTTTGCATTTCTTTAGTTCCTATGCTAACTGATAGCTCACTTAGCTTTTGCTGTTTACGCACAGGCGGCTGGGTTACCTTAATTTCTGTGCGTTACACTGCGACACACGAAGAAAGGGGATCCCGTCCATCTACGAGGAAACATATCAACACATGTGGTTCAAGAATTGTGATAATTACGTCTCAAAACGAAAATTACAGGCAGCAGGAAGTTGTTGTTTAATAACAACGCAACCAGAAACACAACACACAACGCGTGTTTCCGGTTTCCAAGTCGGTCAATTCAAAATATGAAACTTTATTCAAAACAAACCTGTTTTAATTTGGGTAAAGGTTTGACGTTTTTTTCTGGTCACTATAAAGAGAGGTCTACATTTTATAGATACCATTAAATAAATAAAAAATGTTGTAGTTTTGATTATAAGGAAGACATTGCAGTCTATGGTTTGGACACGTTTCACCATTCTGCCGACAGATGGAGACAAAAGGCTCAAAACCAAACCCAGAAAGGTAAACAAAGTAAAGCAAGAGTTATGTACAATATCTTAATCTTGAACTAAATCGATGGGAGTCCCATGGGGGGGGTAGCTCTTTGTCAATTATAAAATCTAGTTTTACTAAAATACACATGTTGGGTTTTCTAATTCTCTCTGTGCAGGGTGTAGAATGATAAATAGTCTACTTTGGCCTACACATGTCTCGTAAGATTTCAGGCCATATTTCAATAATGACTGCTTTAATTTTAATACGTGAAATCAGAGTTACTTGTCTGTTTAGGGCCGAAGGAATTCCAGTGAGTATTTTGGTGCATTAATAAGAAAAAATAGTTAAACGGGTTGGCTACTTCAAAAGTCAATTATCAAAACATGAACCAGAAAAGAACACAGAAAGACATGAAATAAAGGTAAACTATAGCCGTCTGAGGTGATACAGTGTTTGATTTGAAAAGGATGCACGTGAAGTAAGTGAGTATACGTATAGGCTAAATGTCACACCATTCTTCATTTTTTTTTAAGCAATTGAGATCAGTCACACTGCCCTAAGATTTAGAATAAAAAGTCTGATCTCCTTGTGAAACGAAAGGTGGCTCCACAAAAGTCCGATTTCTGACTTGAATCTGTCAAACAGTCACGAGAACATCTGAACTTTATTTGACAGGTAGTCAAAGCAGCTTCTAACAGGTCAGGTGATGTCCTCATATAAAGAGGCAGGCATACTGACTGGTGGCGATGTAGATTGTCATATCTTGTCAATAACTTAAGACTTTGATAAAGGATGAGTTGTTCACTCTTTTTATGATCCAGTCCACCCCGGCTGTGTGCCTTGTAAAGTCCTATCATCCCTTTATGTGTAGCTACAAGCAGGCTATAATAGCTGTATGACTAAGCTAAGCAAATATTGAACCATCATAATATGTGTGTTTATGACTTTACCTAAAGACACTTAGCACATGCTGTTATAGCCTGTATGGCTGGTGTAAATGTCATTGATACTATAGACGAACAATTATGCACAACACGCTTTAAAATTGGGTTACAGTCTGTTCACATCTTATCTTTTCTTTCATCTTTTTGACTATATAAATTGTTTTTAAATGGATGATTTCACCTGTCATTCTGTAGATGATATTCAATAACCTACTGAAACATTTTCTTAAAAAAAATAAATCTCTTGAATTCAGAGTGACAATGCAGTTTCATATGTTCAAAAGTACAAACTGGTGTGGGACTTCTGTGGTCAAGAACCATAATCAACCCCTCATATATACTGTCTACATTATAATCCTATAATTGTCCTTGCTGAGATGGATAATGAATCACAGTCAATCACTTTTTTTAAATATACACATAAGTGTAGGCCTACTGTTTTTTCACTGCTCTTAATACAACAGATATTCAAAGCCCAGAAAACACATCCCACAAAGGAGGATATTGGATATGGGTATGAGTCAACAGAAGAGAAATGACATCAAACCAATTAACTATAAATATCATGACGCACAAGAAGAAATCTGTTCAATGTAAAAATGATAATACTCACTGTGAAGAGCTCCTCCACAAGTTAGACAACCAAATGTGCTCTGTGATTTATGTTTTTGTTCAAATCCCTCTTTCATTGTGTGTTTCGTTTTAAAGCATTGCATGAGGGTTGGGTCTATTTCACTACACACTTTTGGGGACTTTAATCTACAGCAATGCATCATATTCTTTAACATCATCATGTGCTAATCATATCGCTGTAACAATAATTCAAGGATTCATATTTTTAGTACTCAAGTTTAACTTTCATGTCACAGAATGTACTAATCTTTGTGCTTAACTATGGTACTTAGGAACTTGGAAATATGCTGTGCCATTGAAGCAATCGAATAATAAACAGTAAAAGTTATGGCATCTTAATTTCATCTCAGTTCTTCACAGTTATGATTTCCCTTTTCAGCTACTTATACGTCGACGTCACTTTATTTTAAATGGAAATTTTTGATTTTAACATTTGAAATGTGTCTGATTACTTTAAATGATTAGTTATTTTTGCAGATTTCGACTCATAAAACAAAGATACACAAGTGGACCTTTCTCCAGAATGACAGTGTTTGGCATTTTGATCCTTAATTTGGAATGCAGTGAAATTTGAAATGCGTGATACCTAAATGAAGGCAACCACAGTAGTTCTTCTCCGTGGTTACTTCTAAGTCCAAATCTAGTTCCTTTTGTCCCTGTGTAAGAGATTTTCCTGCGAAGACCTCTGCAGTGTTTACCTCTGCTGCCGTGGAGCCTTCCAACACTTGAGGGATTAATGCATCTGGTGTCTTTCACCAATTATCGTCATGAATACGTTCCTTCACAGCCTCATCCCTGGGGTAATACTCCAGATGAGAGCATACTAATGTGATGTGAACAGGACCTTTATATGCGTCCTTTGTTCCTCTTTGTTTCACCTGTCCTGCCCCTTTAAGATTAGACAGTTCAATCTAGGCGTGTTTCCTTGCTGCCATTGACTAAAACCGAGGGCTGGCATCCTGCGGGGAAAAAAAAGCACATCAAACAGCTTTACATGCTTGCCTCCATACAGGCGAATATTTCCTCATTTTTAACAGGATTTTTTTTGTTTTGTTTTGCTTTGTAATGTCCACGTAGGCTACAGCAGCGTGGTCACCGTCTACTATCTGGAGCAGCACGACTGTACTATCATTTATGATTTATTATCGAGATGATATGAATTTCAGTCGGTCATGGTCCGCTCTCCTGATCCAACAGCCACGGCTGCATTTCCAGGCTTCCGATGGTGAACATCTGCCGCAAGCGTTTGGATGAATTGCTTTTCTTTTGCAGTATTTTACTACCTGTGTGAGGGAAGGTTGAGGTTGTAGGGAAAGCTTGGGATCCTTCGTCGTAGTGGGATTGACATGCTGCAGTAAAGACGGAAAAGTGGAATTTATAAAACAATATGGATGAGGAAGCATTGATGATGTGAGTGCGACTCTCCAGAATGAAAAAGGAAAATGCTTGACAGTCGCCGCCTTGTGCAGCAGTCTTTCACATTTCGGTGTTACTCGCTTGTTTTGTTTTTTCCCCCAAATGGACTGTGCCACATTGTCTGAACCGCATCTTTAAGAGCACAAGATCCCCTCAAACCCACCAGGTTATTGTGTGAACAGATTTACAGTAGAGCAGCTCATATCAACCCAAGGAAGAAGGACCGATCCTTCCGAGCAGACAGGGCACCATGTCTGCGGTGATGATAACACGGAAGGTGCGGAAATGGGAGAAGCTCCCGGGTAAGAACACTTTCTGCTGTGATGGTCGAGTGATGATGGCCCGGCAGAAAGGAGTCTTCTACCTGACCCTCTTCCTCATCGTCGGGACCTGCGCCCTCTTCTTCGCCTTCGAGTAAGTAGGCTACACCTTCCTCCCTGTGGCTTCTAACGACCCTCACACACATGAGGAAAATTGCTGTTTTCCTCCAGGAAGTGTCTCTTCTAGGACACTTTTGACTCTTCCTTATTCATAAATGCATAATATTCCTCCAGCAGCTCGTATTTAGTGGGCTAGTTACCTTAACCAAGGTGACGAAGATTGGTCGAGTAATCGTTAGTTAATTGGAAAAACTAGTTAGAAGGTGAGTTGTCAGTCAGGTTTTATTTTCCCAATTTAAAATTCTAAATACATTTCTATTTCCTTTGCATTATGTGACTTAAAACAATTACATTTCTGTTTCTGGCCAATGAATATTTGACTCTTTGAACTTAAGATGTGATAGGCCTGCATTTAGTTTTTTTTGAACTCTTACTGTTTATTAATCAATAGGCTAATTAGTGCAACCCCAATAATTTGGGATTTTTTTGGGGGCTGAAAATAATGATGGTTTATTCTGAATGAAGCAACACATAAAAGCAGATTATACCTTCCCTGAACCTAGGTCGTGTGTTAAAAAAATCTATTTTTATAAAACCAAATTCATTACTATCATACAAAACAAGGATATAATCATGTTTATTTTTGTATTAAGACAATTGTCAGTCTGGCTCAAATAGATTCTTATTTAATCACAAGAGGTTTTAGATGGTATTGGTTGTTTTGGAGCTTCTAAAAGTTACTTAAAGGTATAGTGAGTTGATGCATATAGTCTCGTGCTTGGCCTTCATTTGTAACAATCAAGAGGTTCTGTTATGATAAGCTCTCACAGGCACTTTGTGGATCCACCTTTTTCTTGTTGCTCAGGTTTGAGTCCCTGTCCGTGAAAAGGTTTATGATTGACCACATACTGAGGTGTTTAATAGTTAATAACCCATAGCTGTCCTGCTTTCCCCCGTGCTCCAAGAAAGGAAGGCTTTCTTTTTTTCTGTAGTCTCAGCGTTTCTGTCCCAACCAGTCACTACTCAGACAGCCCAGTGGACTCATTAGCTCTGCAAACACACTGCCCGCATGTACACCCAAGTCTTGTCAGCACAGGCTTGTTTTTAAAATGAAGTACGTGACTCTGAATGATGATCATAAAGCACTGCTGGTTCTCTTTTAGATCACATTCATTCTGTGTTTGTCTCTTTTCTTGCCTTACAAATCCAGGAGAATGATATTTAGCTGAAAACCCTGCCCTGTAAAACTGTAACCTTTCATAACTGTGGGTGTATTCAGCAGCTACCAAGCCAAATGGATTGGTGGCATGGCAGAGAAGAGAGAAGGAGCTGCTGTCACATCTTGCCATGCCCTTCCTCTCACTGTCCTCTCTGCACTTTAATGGCCTCCAGCTTTCCCTTTTACAACGGACAGGAGCAGCTGTTGTCCGAGATGATACTGCTCACAGTGGACATCCAGAGCCCAGAGGAGGCATTGTGGTGACTAATGGCTGAAGAGTTGTTAGCATGCCATGTTCATATTACAGCAGAACATAATTATCTCTCGTGGGGTGGATATTAACGTGGAGATTGGACCCTGACTGTGTGGGGATAAATTTCAAACTCGCTATTATGAGGCAAACTCCATATCTGATTGAAACCTCTGACAGAGTAATAGCTTGCTGTGAAAAGGCTCTGAGGTTTACTACATTCAAGCCACCCATTCCCAGCTACATGCATCAGCATTGGAACAATAAGCCTTTCTTGCTATTAGTATACTTGCAGTTAGGTTTATCAGCTTATTAAATGGGTTCTTTCTATTTTTTTTCTATATAAAAAAGCGCTAATGAGGTTTTTCATTCAAATGTTGTTTTGCCCATGAGCATTGGAATCAACACAGAAATACTCATCATCATGCAAAACAAACAAAAACAGCAAACTGTACAAAGGGATGTTGGGCTGAGATGCAAGTCTGGAACCGCTCAGTGATATTTGATCTCCATGGGGCTTCACAAAGGGATGCATACTTTAATGCTTTTGATGCTACAGCCAATCAGTGCAAAGAATAAAACAACATAGTGTGTTTATAGGCTAGGTAGCTATAGTTCTGTTATCCAGATCATATTGAATATGGCTTTTAATTCACGCTTGGTATGACATGATTAACAGCCAACACTTAGGATTGTTATATAAACTGTTGATGGGAAACATAAATCTCCACATTATCTGAAGTTATATTGGTTGTTTCCAAAAATGCATCAAGCTGCCCCGAAAAAAATGTGATATGATTAAACAACAACAATGCTGATGACGTCGCCGGGGTTAGCCAAACCTTAACTCTGTCCCCGCCCCAACTTTGCTTGGCGTGGCTCGAATGAGAAAGTGTTTGCATGCTAACACAGTTAACTCAAAAGCATCATCCAACCAGCATGTGAGCATTGTCCTCTTTAGCATTCAAGTGTGATTCAGTTAGATTTGAGATTTTTACCGCCGCACATAGCTGTTAGCATCATGTCTAAGCAAAAATCACCGAGTGCCTTGTTTGACTCATTATGTGCTAAAGATGAGAGAAACCAGTTATGAGACTTTAAACTATCAGGTCATTACTCATTATGATTCTGTCGATGAACTACTTCTACTCAGTTGACCAATTGCCACAGCTCTTCCTATGTTTTATACCAGCTTTCCAACATTGTGTTGTGGCCATAACTGATCAAAAACTCAATTTGTAACAGGCTTTACATTGATTTAAACTGTACTTCAGTCTACTGCACACACAAAGCATTCACAGCACTGCAGAGTTAAAATCATATTCTTTAGCAGTAAAGCTCTTTTGTGTAAGCTAGCTAAGGTGTGACTTGCAGGTGCTCATTCTGTTATTATTAACACGTAGATTCCCTGTATAAGAGGATTGGATCCTTGCATGCTGTGGTGTTATTGGGGAGAACAGAGAGGGCAGTGTCTTGGCGTGGGTTGGCTCATAACCAGAGCCAGCCGAGCAGACATCTCACTTTTACCACCAGCCACCACAGGCCCCCTGTGCAGGGAGACGTCTCTGTGCTTTAATTTGGGCTAAATTTGGGAAATGAGCAGCTGAATACATAATTGGAGAGACCCATTAGGAACAGCTAAACAGATTATTCACTGCAGAGGTGTGCCGGTATGTTTTATCCTTTAGAGGCGGAATCATTTTAAGGACTTTATGTCTTTTTTCTTCTGATGCTTTTGTACAAGATGCATACAATGCTTCAGTTGTCCCTTTGCCTAAAATGCGCAAATGGCTTCCTCACAGTTTGAGGTTCAACGCTTCTGTTCCTGTTTCTATATGCTTGCGTAAATGTGTGCGTGTCGTGCGTGCTTATGTGCATGTACGTAGCCACCTATGGAGCTTGGATGACAGAGAAAAGAAACCGGACACAAGGACAGTATGCCATCTTGTCTGTCCACTGCAGGATGCTGGGCTGCGAGGCCAGAGAAGCATATGTCGCTGTAACGGCCCTGACTCTTCCTCTCTTCCTGTATGTGTGTGTGCGTGTGTGTGTGCGTGTGTGTTTCTATTTACTTCCTTGCATATGCTGCAGGAATCGAGGCGTTTAGTGACTGCCCATCCTTGACTCTGTAAAATGTGAAGGTGTAATAAGTTTAAGTGCAGGGCCGAGCTTGTGGAGCGAGCAGCTGCAGCCAGAGGAGATCTTGTAACCGACCCCTGAGTCTCCCTCAGCATCTGACCCCACCCTGTCTCCCTGTTAGCCAATCAGGAAGAAGCTGCCCTGGCTAAATGAGCAATAACATGATTTATATCCTGCTCAGAGTGGATGCACCATTAGCAGTGACAGTGATACGCTCGCTTTGTTCTCTGGAAGCTTCTCTGACTGGAGGAGAGGGCTGCTTTTTATTTGCCCACACTTTGTGTCGTCCTCATATTTTCCACGTTTTTCCACTTTTCACATCTGTGGTGTAGAAAACAAGATGTCTCTTCATCACTAGAATTGTTGCATCATGTGACAAAAATTAAATCATCAAATGTATGATTATTCTTCATTTCACTTAGTACATATTCTGTGATGCAACATCAGTAATCCTAGCTTTAATCCCTGTAAGAGGAGCGTGGCCCTGGCCTCTGTGTCTCCTCTCTCTCATATGGTATTTAAGTGTTGCATAACAAGGAGGACTGATTTAAATCACACAACAGATTGCACCCTCTGAAGCTTTAGGGTAACCTTCTTTGAAACTTCCTCTTTCATTGGATTTCAAAGAGTTTAAAAGGATGTGTTCCGGTCAGATGTTTGTAGTCCAGAGAGAAGTCTAAACTAGACAGCTTCTTATGTTTCTTACACTATCACATTTGAGGTTACAGAGTTGAATGTTTCATTTTCTGAGACAAAAAGTCTAAAAGCCTGATATAATATATGATTAAAAAAAAAAAACATAAAACGCTGTTTGACAACACATAGTGCTGGGGTATAGAGGTGTCAGGCTACGCAGGCTGGTCTCCAGCCATCAGCTCTTTTGTATCCAAAACTGAAGATACATTATTTACCCACCTTACATGTTGAACATCTAATGAACTATACAGTTGTATATCAGCTTTATACTAAAAATGGGATAAAAATAATTAGATAATTTAATGCAATAACTGAACAAAATGTGCAGTTCTTCAACCATAAACGTCACAGAATGAATATCCACCTCTCATTCCTGGTATTTAAATAAACCGTACAGTACAGATGTTTTCATGTTCTACACAGATCCTTTAAAGTTGAACCTAACACCCCCCCCCCACCCGTCTAATCCTTACTACTAATGCAGCACAGATAAAAGTGTCCCTCTCTCTAAATGTGAAACAGTGGCTGTGACTGATGGTCACCAAAGGCCAAGAATAGGTTGTCAATTTATCAGAACGGTGACGATCCTCAGGCTAGCAGCTGTTACTGTGGAACTGTTCTTAAAGAGTCTTTTAACCATCGGGATAAATGTGGAGGTTGTTTGATAGAACATTTTGTAAAACTTGTTAAAACTATATTCCATCGCTGTATGTGATGACTTATTTTTAATGACAGAACTTTTTGACAGTCACGTTTCTATTTAACGATATATCTAATAAAATGAATCATTTTGGAGGACGATGTTTGTACTGACGTTAAACCTGTTTGTTTGAGCAGGGTATTTCAATAAATGCACTTATAATGAAATCATTATTCTTGTGATCAAAAGGATATTGGTCAGTTATGGCTAACTGATCTGAGAACAGTTTTAACTGGACATGTTTTAAAACTGTGTTGATCATGCAAGAGACTGAATATTTTCTCTGATGGTTAAAGAATACTTGAATGTTTCTTGAAGCCCTTTTGGAGTGTTGCTTTGTGTTGTTCAATGACCATTTTGGACTTTTGAAGATTGTCAGGAAAAACAGGTTCTTTCCTGCGTTACTTTGTGATGTAAATTGACAAGAGGCACAAACTGGAGTGGCCGACAATTGTGGAAAAGGGCAAAAGCTGTCTGAGATTTGTGCTGCAGACTTAAAAAGCCACTTTGAAAACGTTATCTAGCGAGCTTTGTGACACAGACCAGAGAGGGCAGGTGGAGTTTGTGAGCCTTTGTTTCTTGCCCGTGCCCTAGAAAGAGGCAGAGTCACAGTCTCCAGATGTGAGTATGACAGAGGGGCTGTGTCTGTGTCCTACTGTGGATCCATCTGCACAGCAAGTGCATCATTTATTTGTAGAATGATTCATGCAGATCTGCAACAGCTTACAACTGTTAAGTATTAATAAAGGAAGGGCTGGAAATGTTCAACAAAGCTGAAAATGTCATGAGTCACTGTGGGGGTGACAGGGTGACTTATTAATCCTTGGTACAGGAGGGGTTTCTTTTTGGTGTAAGGTGTAAGTAAATTTAAGTCAGGGATGTTTCTTTTTTTTTAAAAAAGCTTCTCATCGCTCAGCTCGTGTCGTGTTGAGCTTAGAGGGGAAATCCTCTGGATGAAAGTCTGCAGCAGACACACCCTAATGCATATAAAGCCAACACACCATACACACACACACACACACACACACACACACACACACACACACTGCACAGACAACACCATGTGAGGCTTATCTTATCACAGTGTTATTCTTTTATATGCTTAATGTGCTTATTGTTTGATATTGACAGCTTGTTCCAAGTATTTTAGCCTTGAGACCTGATATCATAAAATAATCATTTTCTTTTCTTTTCTAAGAACTTGGCCTGTTGGACACTTTTTAATGACTTTATTACTGGCCCATTATGTAAATAAATTAGAGTATAGCTTATGGAAAATCTCCTGGTTTGAATACAAAGTATGAGCTGTTTGGGGGTAACCATGGAAACATGCTTAGTTGAGCTATGTTTAAGATTTTGTTTAGCTTAAATAACCAAAAGTATTTTATTTATTTTAAGTAACTGTCCATGAAGTCAACAATTTCATCTTTTTTATTTCATGAAAACCTCCTTTTTAAAAAAAAATGTTAGGTCCTACATTACCCACAATGCAACTCAAGCTATGCTGTGTTGAATAGATGATTGATATGAATTCCTACATACACTTAGCTACCCCACTATGTTCATTGTTGGGGAGCCTCAAAGGAGAAGCAGGAAGTTGATTAAGAAAGAAGGAGAACGTGTAGGTGGCATGTGGGTGTCATTTGTTGGTCTGATTGATCAGCTCACTGATGAAAACATTTTCCCCACATGGACACAGGCTTTGATTAAGTCCAGTTTCTGTGGTGACTGATGAGCACTCAGCGTCACTGAGCCGGCACCACCCTGCTCCTCAGCAGCACAGGAAACAGTCACGTCCAGGAAGGACGTGGGGGCTTGATGGGAAGCGATGATAGAGTGTGCCTCGAATACCTACCAGTCATCATTACTGGAATTACGCTTCATCGACGGATCGCCTCCCTTCAGTCTGAATCCAGCGGCTGCTCTCTGGGCTAACAAATGAGCCAAACAACTTCACAGGCCCGCTCCGGTGGAAATCTCTATTGATCTGATCTCTGCTCCCAGTTTCCATTAGTGTGAAAAAAGACTCTGCAGGGAAACTGGTCAGGCCAGTCCAGCAGGTGGTGTGTGTGCGTGTGCATGTGTGTGTGTGTTTGTGTGTCATGTGTGTTGTCATCAGTGCTCAGGTATGCAGATGTCCCTGGTTTATCCACTGTACGCAGCCATAAACAGGTGAACTTTGTTCTCTGTCATGTTTGTGGTGACTGGCAGTTGTTTACTCAGTTACATCCCTTGCCTTTTAAACTTCCTCCCAGCTCTTTGTGTGTGTGTGTGTGTATGTGTGTGTGTGTGTGTGTGTGTGTGAGGGTCTGTGTGTGTTAGTGTGTATGTTGAAAATGGAAGAAGACAAGACAAAACAATGGATTCCTCTGTATGATTAAATAACTACTTCTTTTGTCTGACCCACAGTTCAAAACTTAGAGATATTCAATTCAAAATAAACAAAACATGCAGAAGTTGAAAATCCTCGAAGATACTAACTTGAGAGCTCTGGTTCTTACTGGATGTCTCATTTAAAAAAGATAATATTTTAGACGTACGTTGCAGGAGAACAGGCATTTGGACAGATAACGTCTATTTGTTTAGTCAGTTTTGTGCTATGGAATCACAGAGATGGCTCTCAGGGTAAAACTCAAATCCTTACTTAACCAGAAGGAATAACAAAGTTACAAAAACATCAACAAGCATTAGAGCTTCTTTAAAGCAGTTTAGAGAACCCAAATAATTGATAACCTCATTTATGTAACAGTAGAGGCAGCTGATATTTGATACATATAAATGGTTCTAGTCATGGGTTGATATTTTCAGCACAGCTGCACCTTCTTATATTGTGCAGATAAATTATATTTTCATTATTATTATTATTATTATTATTATTATGCAGCTAATATGTATATGTATTTGTCTATTTTTATGTCTGGTCATGTCCTGGGTAACAACACAAATGTCTTGTTTTGACAAAACCCCAAGATATAGTTTATCAGGATACTTTTCTGGAATAAAGGAATGCATTTGAACGACAGGAAACAAAGACCGTGAAGGATTTTTGCTTGAAAAAGAAATAAAAACATTTGCAGATTTACTTTTTGGCAAGCTTGATAAATTCCAGGTCTAATTCTGTGAAATACATTCAGTTTGCATCAACAAAAAGGGAATCATGTGTGGATGAAATGCAGCCCAAGGATTTTAAAGAACGGATCCGTCTATTTAGAGGAAAGTTCTGAATATTTGTCTTTCTAAATATAGGTTGGAAAAATACAGACTTCAATCTTTATATAATACAGCAGAGAGTTTTGCCTGTTTTGTTTTCTATTTTTAACAACATGCAGTAATAAAGTTAGTCAAGTACAGGATGTGGAACAGTATGGCATCTTGCAGTCCTGTAGTGTAACATCAGTGTTGCATTATGAATATATGATCCTTGCCTCATGGGAGGGTGATGAAGCAGCCCAGTTTAACTATTAATAACAGCACATAGAAGTCTTTCTCTTTTTGGCTGCTCTGTTCTGTTGCAGTATTTCACTCTGCAGCTCACATCTGTTATCAGACTAAGCAGCAGGCCCCCTCTGGCTCTAATCTCGAACTGATCTATGCTAATTTCTCTTCCTTCTTCCAGAAGGTGAGGGGACGTTGTTCGTTCACGGTCATGACTTCGGCATGGTCCAGAGTAAGGGCAGCGCTCACAGTTCATGACCTTCTGCTATGGACAACAGTTTAGAGTATGTGTGTTGTCCTGTCGTGCCCTCTCTGCACATGCTCAGTTTAAGCGGGTGATTCAGTGTGTGGCTTTCAAGAAAACACAAAGAAAGTTATTCATCGAGTATTTATTTTTGCTCTGACATCAAGGGCTGGACTTTTCTTAATTTCACTTTTCCTTACATTATAATTCAAGTCTTGTTTTGTCCAACCTTCAGTTAACATATATTCATATGATTTTTTTTTCTTGTGATGTAAAACAAATAATGGTTTAAATAAGCACACTGGAGAAGCTGAAAAGAAACTTTCCCAGCTATGAAATACAAATTGCTCATTTATTTTGCTTGTGAAGAATGAATCAAATTCAATTGCAGCTTTTGGTGATGACACAAAATGTTTCCCCTCACAAAGGCCAACAAAGAAAAGCAGACACAACTTTTATTTCACTGCCTGTCATCTTTATGAGAAACTTCTCTGGACTAATTTCCTTTTTTCAACAGGTGTCCATACCTGGCCATCCATCTGTCCCCTACCATCCCATTTTTTGCCGCCCTGCTCTTCCTCTTTGTCATCGCCATGCTTCTGAGGACGAGCTTCAGTGACCCTGGGGTGCTGCCTCGGGCTCTACCAGAAGAGGCCACGTTTATTGAGATGGAAATTGGTGAGTTACAGGGACAGTTTGCAGTTTGTCTTAAAATAAGTTTGTCTTCTTGTCTTCCTCTCAAAACTTTGCTTTATCTTTTTTTTCTTAAGGTATTAAATGTGACCAAAATGTTTGGACCACAGGGAGCAGCTGTTAGTTCAAAATCTGTAATAGCCTACTCAGTGTTTCCCCTAGGTTTACAGCGTTGGGGGGGGGGGACAAGCCGACATGCCGACACGGCGACACAACGACACAAACACTTGAAGGAATCTTTGTGTTCATGCGTTACTTTTAATGACAGCTGTCCTGTTCTATCGGAAAGGTATCCTTAAATGACTTCTTTCCCTGATTTCCGACTCTATCCACTATCCTATCCCTACAATAAAGGCACAAAAAGCCCAAGAATAAATCTTTAAAAAGATTTCGCCCCCCCCCCCCAATATAATGGTAGGGGAAACACTGGCCTATTCATATAACACTACTTGCTCACCAATATAAGTTCAGTAAATTATTTGGAAAATAATTTGGTGAACAATGTAGAACATTTACAAGCAAATTAAGCGGCTATATCCCGCAGGAGTGGTGGAGACCAAAAATGGAGCTAAAAGGAAAGCAAATGCCCCAGCAGGACTCAAAATGTTACATACCTGGATTTTTGCTGTCTTGGTAAATGAATGACAATATATACTGTCAAAAGAAGAAGTGGCTAAAGATAAACATTTTATAAAGAAATTATATAGAAATCAGACAGTGTAGGGCTATGAAATATTCATATTCTTCAGACGTACTTCGAGGTTGTCCAGTTTAAAGAAGTCTCACTTTTTCTACACTGATTGCAGTCCGCCTCCTCACCCTGAAGTGTGCATAGATATTAGACACTATCAGTAACTGATGATGTAACCAGGCTTCTTTATCTACATCAAGTTGAACATTGAGAGAACGTGCTGTGACAGCTCCATTATCTTAGTTGTTGTGTTTTGTATGGAATAACAACCACAGACTGAATATTAGTCAGCTCAAGTGAAAGCATTCTGAAGACATAAATACTTCAGTATATATATGCACTTCAAGCAGGAAGCAGACAGACTCAGTGCTGTTTGTTTATTCATGTTTGTTGTGCTTTATGATGCTGAAGGTTTTGTGTGGATGCAGGAGCTCGGCCTGGCACATCATTACAAGAGCTTCTGTTGTCTCATTACATTGAACAAACTCTACCCTGCAGCATAATGATAACAAAGCCTTTGCAAACAAAAATGAACAACAAATATGGCATTGAGCTGTCCAAACCCTCTTTATCTGAAGGAATAAGCTTTTATCCCATCATTTCTGAGCTTAGGGCATCCTGACCCTCCCTGTCTGGGAGGGTGTCTGCTGTGTGTTCACCCTTTGTCTCTGTTAAAGATTCACTGTGTCCTTCAGCCATCACTCGTACTCTCTCTCTCCTCTCTGTGGGCCTGGGGGGGGGGGACTGGTCTTGTCTCTGGACAGAGGGGTGGTGTAAAAGCGAGGCTGAGGCACTTTTCTCCTCAGAGGATGGGTTATCTGGCAGCCATGCAGCGCTTCTCTCATCATGACAGTGACTCACACATATACTGGATGACAGCAGGGGTCTTACCAGCATTATTCATGATGACCCTGGGGGAGGATGTACAAATCCTGCATGGAGTTTAAATTTAAAAATCTCACTGGAAATTATGAAAGCCCATGAGGCAAAAAAGCTGCAGCTATTATTATTTTTACAATATGCTGATCTTTTTACAAACCGATTAATTTGTCTTTTTATAGGCAATAATTGTTAAAAGTTCTCTTCACAAGTGATCAGAATCCAAATCTTCAAATGATATATTATCAAACCAACAGTCGTTAATCCACATATATTTAATTTAAATGATATCAAACAAAGAAAACAGGAAGGGAGCTGTTGAATGCGGACATGTGTGAAGATACATGACTGAATTTTGTCATGACAGAGAGAAAAACAGTCTTGTTTTGGCAGCTATTCTGGATTTCTTTGTTTTTTTTTGTCGTCGTCTCATTTTACTGTGAAGGCTCCCTCTTTTAGATCACAGACCTCTGGAAGTGGTGTCGCTGTGTTTCCTTAAAAATAAACTAGGCAGCAGTTTCCCCCTCATACATAAATCAGTTTGTTTCTGTTTTTTAACGAATGGATACTTTGTTTTTTTCATAGACAAACATTGCATATCATTTTACATGTTATCATAAGTAAATCAAAGGGCACAAACAAATTCTGTTACAATTTATTCATGTTGGGATTTTAAAAAGACATCAACTGAAACCCTTCAGTACGACAATGCTTTCTTGCCAAACCGGTTGCTGCAAAGCATGTTTTATATTATTAGACACCAAAACTATTGATTTGGATATCTCTACCTTAGACAAAGTCAATCCTCTTGTGTCCTCTCCTTATGCTACGCTAAGATAACTTGACCTATAACCTCTCCAAGTCTCTAGATGTTTTTGGTCCTGTTTCACATTCAAGCATAAAAATTTTGCAAATTGTCCATGTTTACTATGATTTGGTTCAGAACTGGCCACCTAATGCCTCCAATGCTTATTTTCCGTCTTTATCCTTTCATTGGTTTATATGTTTTTTCATTTCACACTACAGAATATTCCCCTGAAATAGCAAAATATTCTCACCTAAATGCTAACACGCCCATGTGAAGAATATGCACCGCAGCAGCTTAAATGTAGCACTTGGTTTAACAACTTCCATCCCACACTTGCAGCTTTAACAAAGTATGTTTTTTTGAATGTGTTAGGCTAACTGTTTGCGATTATGAATGGTGTGGATGCGTGATCTGATTCTGAGGCCGAGGCAGGCATGTTGATGAAGCTCCTGCTGCCTCGATCCTCCGTCCCCCTCAGCATGTTTGACCGGTCCCGAGGGAGAATGCTAATACGAGTAGAAGCTTCCTCCTGGAATATATAATGCGACTAACACACAGAGCTTTGCTACCCGAGGGAGTGGCATCATTCCCTGTGAGTGATGACTCACTAATTTATCCTCCGCTGGTTTATCCTGAAAGCCACTAATCCTACGTTCTGTAGATTCATAATGCATTAATGCACAGAGCATTTTTTTCTCCTGTCAGACAAAATATTGTTTATGTCTGAAGATGTTTTTTATGGTTTACATACAAGCTTGTAAATGTGCAAAAACATTTCTTACTCTGACCACTTTATGCAGCCCAGATAATTAGATTTCCACAAACACCACATTTATTATCTTAATTTTGTCCCCAGAAAGTCTAATGAGCATGCTCCCTCTTTTTCCGTCACCTCTACATTCATGCCTTCCCACTGCAGCAGGTTAATGGAAAGTTTCTCCCTAACAGCTGCTCTCCTCTGAGACTCCAGCCAGCACACACACAGCCTCTCCTGCACCATTAGCCAGCCGCTCTAACCTCTCGTCTCCTGCAGTGCAACATAATCACAAAGATCTGGACTGACAGCAAATGTGAATATATGAGGATATAACTGCAAGGCAGAAACCAAAGTTACGGCTGTGCAGTACTGTCATTTCAGTGTTTGGAAGCTAAGCTGATTGCCAAACAGAGCCAGGACTCTGCAATGTAACGTTTCTGATTAAAAAAGATATTTACAGCTCATCAGTGATCCCATATAAATCAAGAGTTATCAATACCCTATTGAGCCAATGTTTGTTCACTGACACCCTCATGGGTCAGGTGCATAGATTTATGGGACATTTTTCTCTTTCCTTGTCACTGACGCTCACATTTTTACACTGCCTGAAAAAAATATAGAGCTGGCAAAGTCACTATTCTGACCCTCAATATCGTGTAATGGAATAAGGCTTGGATAAACTGTGCCTGCTGTAAAGCTAACAATGTTTAAAATGTGTGAAAATAATGTCGGATGCGTTGTTTTCCCAATGTGAGATCTTATTTTAGTGTTGTTAAGTTGGATTGGAATTTAACGACACCTTTTTTTTTTGAGGAATTTCCAGAGTGATCAGGACTGCCAACACCTTCTAATGAATGTTATTTGTTCCCACAGAGGCCGCCAATGGGAATGTCCCCGCAGGGCAAAGACCGCCGCCTCGAATCCGCAACGTTCAGATCAACAACCAGATCGTCAAACTGAAGTACTGCTACACGTGCAAGATCTTCCGACCACCCCGAGCATCTCACTGCAGCATCTGCGACAACTGTGTTGGTAAGACGTCTCCTATTATCTGATGTTCAAACACGAGCTTTACGACGTGACAGGACGGCTCATTGAAGCCGGTTTGTTTCAGCTTTCAGGAATAGAAAGGTGAGTGTGGAAAAATAGCTTGCTGACTGTGATGATTTTCTTTTATTAAAGCCTGGATCTAAATGACCTCCCAACATGCATTTGTCACAGTGATTAAATCATAAAAAAAATCACAGCTTTATAAATACGTGTTGGACCAAGAAGACAGGAGGCAAAGAAAATAAATACTGAACAAATCAGACAAAAAAAACCTCACAGTTGTTTTATGAAACCTGCTTTATAATTTGACAGTGGTGAAGTATGCGTGTGTGTGTGTTTGTGTGTGAGCGCATGTATGTGTGGAAACTGTGTGTGTCTATGTGTGTGTGTGTGTATGTGTGTCATCTGTCAGCCCTGCAGACTAACAGTGATTTGGCTTCTGATGATTGAGGAAAGCATCTGAGCAGAGCGTAGACTCAAGAGATATGGGAGGAGACAGTGGAGTCTCAGTGAAGGAATAAACGCTCAGTCATTGTGAACACTGGTTCATCTGTGTCCACCTGCTGTAGACACATGCACACACAGGCACGCACGCACACACATGCACACACATGCACACACACACACACAGTCCATACATGACACGGCAGCACGCCTCAGTCCCTGTTTTACTGCAGTCATATCTGTTCCTGCTCATCTTGACGTCTTCTATAGAGGTTTAAGTCCTGCACAGAATAAGCTGCATAAGAAAAAAAACACCAAAGTCATCTTGCTGATTTTATTTGTTTATGCCTGAGGCCTTTCAGGTTTATATACTATGAGATTACTAACGTACAAAAGAATTTAAGTAAAAAAAAATATATATATTTGGCTCTGTGCAGAGTTACTGAACACATTTAGTTATATTTTTTCAGTGATGCAGAAGGTAATTAGAGCATTTTAGTTTTAATATCATGAGCATAGAGAAAAAAAAATGTTCTCCATACTGTACAAATAAGACATGTAGTCTGTATCAATGCTAGCAGCTCTGTCAGACTGTACTTTGCGTTGCTTTGAGCTCCATGTTAATGTTAGCATTGTTACATGATGGAAATGACAACACTGAATTTTAGCCGGTTCCATTTTTACAGGTCACTGTCTTAGTTCAGCATGTTTACTTCTGCAAGGTAGCACTGAACAACATCATTGTTTATACAAGTTTATGTAGCTATAGAGGTCGTTCACTGGTTGTTTAGTTAAGGCATGTATGTGATATAGTCAGTGGCAGCTGCCGACCTCTCCATGATCCCAGCTGGCAATAACTGCATAAACACTTGTTCACTAGTAGACCTTGTCTTCCTGAATAGTTTTTAGGGAGTTCCATACTCTTGACCAAAAGTGTATGTGAACGCTCTCAAAACTGAAAATCAGGACTGAAACTTTTCTTTGTCAGAGAAAGTGATCCATGGACCTCTTTATGTCTCACACATGTGTCTCATTGTTTACTGTAAACTGTTGTGAAAGTCCATCCAGGGAGCGCAGCGTCATGTATCCTGTTGTCCTCCTGACCCTTGACTGCATTCAGCTGAATCGCCTCCAAATAACAGAAAATGAGAGGCAAAGATGAAGTGATCACTATGTTTAGACTGCAGGTTTACAGAAGCTGATGCACAAAGCTATTTCTGCCTATAAGCCTGCATCTGAGGCCTTTTTTATTTTTAACTCACGTTTGATTTCTGAAAGTCTCTTTTCTATAAAAAAAAAAAAAAAAAGTTTGTATGCAGCCTCTGTTCATTTGTAAACAGAGATGTTTCCTTTACTCTCCAGATCGTTTCGATCACCACTGTCCATGGGTGGGCAACTGCGTAGGCAAGAGGAACTACCGATACTTCTACCTGTTCACCACGTCGCTTTCCCTGCTCACCATTTACATCTTCACCTTCGACATCGTCCACGTTGTCATGCGTGAGTATCCTGACGGTCTGATCTCAAGGAACAGACATGTGCAACGTGCAGAATGATACATGATGAGTTTAAAGAATGTGGAAAAGCAGGAAGAACGACCTGTGTTACAGACCCACTTGCAGCTTCTTGTGTGAATGTGCTGAAACTACGACCTTGTTCAGACCAGGCTTTTCCTGGAGCATGACATGACATTCAACAGGAACAGACAACATGACATGATTCCTCTTTTATCCTCGTCTCTCCTGCTTCCTTGTTCAACAAAATACACTCAGTAAGAAGACGAGGAAACAGGAGTGTTTCTAGTCAGGATAATTAGCTCTTGTCTTGTTATCTTAATACTTAAGTAAAGTGTGGAAAAATTTGCATTTTCATTTGAGAAAAATGAATAATGAAGCAGTAGGATTTCTAGACAGTGTGTCCTTCTCAACTCTCCTCTGTGTTGCTCCTTTCACAGGTTCGGTGGATAATGGCTTTCTGAACACTTTGAAGGAAACACCTGGAACATATCCTTTTAAGCTCTGACCGCAGTATACATCATGTGAGCCAGATTTCCTAAAATAGAAAACATTAAAAAAATCTAGTTTCTTTTAAGGCATAACAGGCAGGCTATGATTCTTCCTAAACCTCTCCATGAACAGCGATTTCCGTTTTTAATAGCAGCCTAGCCTCTGCTCACAGTATACCTGTCAAGCTTTGGATTTGATCACATGATGAAGAAGTGTCCTTATTTAGCCTTTTGGAAAACAAGAACAAAAGTGCAAAAGTGTAATAAATAATTTATGCAAGCTGTTCTGTGCTAAAGCTAGATGCAGTATTTAACATGTACAGCAATGAGTATACAGCAACAGTATTAACCTCGTGTTACTTTGAAGACCAACATGCTCTACCTTCATTAGCTTGAGGGGTTTTATGGTACAAAACAAGCTGTTCAAAACCAGCAGAAGCATTTTGTATTTCATGGAGACAAATATGTCCTCTCTGTGTCCTATATTTCCCAGCTCAATAACGTGTCGCACTAGGTATCATTTTAAAGATTTTTCAGTACTCGGCAAGGTTTTGTTGTCAAAATATTAAGTGCATTTTTCTAACAGCTCACAGATTTTTTTTTATAGTCCTCAAAACCTACCTTTCTTACTGTAATTTTATGGACAATACATATCTCCACAGTTCCATGACCATTTTTTTTTTTTTACCGTTCACGCTACATTTGAAACGTCCATTTCCCTGTTTATGAATTACATAATGGAAGATGTTCCTGTCTACTTTTATTGTTAAAGCTAACATCAGCATTGTGTGAAACGTATGCTAGTTGTTTGTTTATATCATTAAGGCTGCAAACTTCGACCTCTTGACCTTTTTAATATAAATGTAGTCTCCGTCACTGTCATGAACTATATTGCAGCATTATCTGCCATTTTGCGTTTATCTTCTATCCACTGGTTCATCAGTGACAATGTGTCATGTCAAAATCCTCTGTTGCTGTTTTCTTAACTCGTGTCCACTGTACTGGAGGTGTTGGTGTGTTTCTTCACTCTGTGGTCGGTGGTGGGTCTGACCGGCTTCCACACCTACCTGATCTCCCTCAACCAGACCACCAATGAGGACGTAAGTACATCTTTCTGCATGTTCCCTAAACATGCTCTATCGTGCGACCGTGCACAACAGAGAGAGTTTCTGGAGGTAATGGAGTTATGGTTATGGAGGCAACATTACCATGCTTTATTTAATTGTGCGAACAGGGGCCTGAATGGGGAACATTGCTAGTAGTGATATAGAGCCATTTACAGCCACTGAGGTCTATCAAGCAATATTGCAGCTTGCTAAAAAATAAGGCAAGTGGCTCAGATCAGATCACTGCAGAGCTTCTAGAGTTTGCGAGCACAAATGTTGCTATTCTTCTTGATATTTGTTTTACTGGTCTAATGACTCCCGGCCTGCCACCAGACTCTGTGTTATCCATTACTGCGGTGCCTGTCATCAAGGACAACACTGGCAAGGTTGGGAGCCTAGATCATTATTGGCCTATTGCTCTAGCAAGTGAGTGGTATCTAAGGTCCTAAAGATATTTCTTATAGTTTAGTTATCTGAATATATCAGTACCACTGATAACCAGTGTGGCTTTAAAGCTAAACATGGTAATGATCGTTGTATTTGTGCCTTGAAAGAAGCTGTTGAGCTCTATAGAAGGAACAATTCCCCATATGATACATTGACGCCTCAAAGGCCTTTGACCGTGTCAACCATCAAAAGCTGTTTATGTAACTAAGTAAAAAGGGGTTCCTTAAAATATTGTATGGCTTCTGGCTTACTGGTAACAACTGAGTGGTTGCAAAACTGGTTGTGTGTTGGGTAACAATTCAATCAATCATCTTATGTATGCTGATGATATGGCAAATTTCCCCCCCTAGCAGTTTCTGGGTGTCAGCAGCTGAATAATTGTTCTATGAAGGAACATATGACGTGCAATACAATGCTAAAAAGAGTGCTATGTTGATATTTAGAACAAAAGGGGACAAGGACCAAGTTTTACCTGTCAGGGCAGGTGCTTAGTGTCAGCAGCAAAAAAAATATTTAGAGACTTCAATACGGATCAGAAAGGTTATTTTACTATGAGATATCTGACGTGCATTAGAGTTGAAATAAAACAACTGTTAAACACATTAAGTTCTATTTTTTAAGATGACGATGACGGTGCAGAATATTATATGCTCAGGCCAATATGTCAAGATAAAGCTCCTTATAGTACTGCACTGCTCTTCATACTGCCCCCCTGTGGGCCAGGTATAAAAGGGCACGCTTACAAAAGCTTCAATTTGCTTGCAATGACTCCATGAGGATACTATAATAAAAAAAGATAGACTATTGCAAGTGAAGTATTTTATAATGAAGGAGTTAACACTGTTCATGCTCTTATAAGAAACATGATGTACAAATTGTCTTCCAATTGAAGGATTGTCAGAACTCCATTATTATGTTTCTGTGTGATTCCCGTCATCCCTGTGGAGACACTGGAACAGCTGTCTGATATCATATTGGTGTTTGTTTGTCTTTTAACCTTGTTTGTCTTTATCTAGTTTGGAAAAAAATATGTTTTCCGATGGACTCTTGAGTCAGTCAATAAAGATGATGATGATGATGATGTAGCATAAAATAACTCCATGAATTCACTAAAATAGCACAAAGCTACAGACAGATCCTGTTGTCACAACCATCGGGCTTTCACACTCTGAATCATTCACTGAGTGGCAGTGCTGTACTTTGCATCTAGTTTGTTTATGTAGCGCACTGTCTTGATGCAAATGATCTCTGACCCTTGATCCAATGGACCAATAGGATTAACTCATTCATCAATATGTACTCAAAGAGGTTCCAAAAAGCATCTTCGACAAATGTCTTGCCTCATCCCATTTGAAGACAAATCAAATCCTCTCAAATTGAGATATCTGAGTAGATCTTACATATTTTAAGATAAGATAAGATAATACTTTATTGATCCCCAGAGGGGAAATTCGGGCGTTGCAGCAGCACAGACAAAAAAAGCTCAAAAATACACTTTAAACAGAATAGATAAGATAAATAAAAATAAAAACAAGGGGGATATACAGTATATAATGAATGATGAAGTGAACTATGCAGGGAATTGAGACAGTATTTGCAGAGAATGACAAGATAAAGTGATTCATGATACAGCGCTTGTTTTTACAAGGTTTGAAATCAGTTTTCTTAGAATCCTTATGAAACAGTTACTGTGGGAGATGCTGGAAAAAGACGTTTCACTTGTATAAAATACATCAATAAAAAAGATCATTAAGAGACCAAATCAAAGCCATTAGTATCATTTTAAAGATACTTCACTACCCAAAATGCTTTTGGCTTGGAATTAAAAAAGTTCAATAGTTAGAGAGTACAGATTATTAGGAGCATGTTGGTACATCTTGGGAGATCAGGCGGCTTGGCTTCATGTGAGTGGAAAGATAAACAAACGTACATCACAGACGTGTAAACATTACAATTTCTAAAACTACAGTGCTGTTTCCTTGACAACGACACCTCCTCACAGAGGGCTGGTAAACTGCAGCTTGTAAGACTATTATATTGTAAACTGTAGTAAAGCAAACACAGAGAGTGTTGTGAACTCAAATAAAACAGCACACTGAGAGGAAAAAAGAATCTCTTTCTGCAGCTTAAACTGGCTCTCTCTGTGCTGTATGTCACATTTCTTTGTACTTTTAATAAGTAAATGAGGCAGAAGGACCACATGGAGAGATTGCCAATCTTCCTGTATATGTCCTTTTTTTTTAGTACAGATAACTGAGACCAGAAATCTCCTTACAAAGGGAAATATGTTCAGTACAGCAGGAACAGTTTTTATTCTTCTCTTTCTACAAATTGGTTTGTTAAGGCTTTGAATGCTTGAGGCAGCCGTTTCTTGGACTCCTCACTGTGCACAAAGTCGACAAAGTGTAATGTTCTAAAAATATGCACGACATATTCTTTAAAAAAACAAAAAACTGTGAAACAAGAACAAAACACAACGTTTGGTTTCTGACTGAACCTGCCAGCTACTTTTAGAGGGAGCTGGCGAGGCTAAATGAGGAAAAAAAAAACAATTGATTGCTTTATTTAGTGAGCACACAGACACATTCAGGCTGATGTAAAGCAGGTGAAGAGCTGTAGATGAATCCACAGAGGGAGTCATTTATGTTGCGCCTGTCTGTGTATAGGAGTGTTAACACTGTGTATACCATATTGGAGCATTGTTAGCGTAGATCTGCCTGCAGACGCTGTGACGTGAAACAGAGAGCAGCAGAGATGGTGCATGTGGTGGGAGGTTCTAGATGGCTGAAAGCAAGAGAGTGCACTCGTACTTTGTTGTAATGATTAATTTATAATTCTCCTTTTTTCCTTCCTGTGGGATGTCTGGCCTCATTTGTTTTTCTTTTTGAAGCTCTGCAGTGTGCACCTACAGTCTGATGTTGCTCCACGAGTTGAAACAAATGGCTGTCAACCCTGCAGTTTCAATATCTGTGATTGGCCTAATAATAGATGCATCGATACCTGCAGGGGCCAGGCACGCTGCCAAAAAGTACTGCTGTGGCAGAGAGGTGGAGGAGGGAGGGGGGGAGAGTAAGTGAGAGAGGGGAGTGAGGAGGGAAGGGGGTGGAATAAGGGCGAGAACAGGAGAAGGCACCTTGAGTGTTGTAGCTGCTCGGGTCTCCCATAGGATGACACATGCCCTGTCTACACACACACACACACACACACACACACACACACACACACACACACACACACACACACACACACACACTAAGATAGACACATCGTACACAAAGGCATGCAGCACTGAAGTACCTCACGGGCAGACTGTTGACCTATATCCACTGCATCTAAAAAAAGAGCGGTTGTCTTTGTCTTGCTGGAGGGTCACTCGGTACAAGCTCTGCTCTGCAGCCAAACTTAAGTGTAGGGGTCAGTTCTATATGCGTTTTGTTTTATTTTATTTATATCAGAAAACTATCTCTAATTCTGGATGTTTGTCGAGGTCAAATGGTGTGTCACCTTATTTGTAAATCTTTTACTTACACTAACTCTTAAGTCAGTCTTGCACAATCATCACAAAATAACTACGGACTATATATTACCAACAGCAGAAACTGAAGCTGTTGTTCACTCACAACACCAGGAAAACAATACATTGCTCGTGCGTATTCTAGTATTGTAGTCATCAACCCAACGACTGCAAGTGTAAGGGTTTTCTGCAGAGCACCACTAGCTTGATGACTTATTTCTGTGAACATTTAAAGAGAAAATAACTCAACTGGAAAGCATGATGATGACACATTTAAAGATATGTTCTCCTTGACTGTATTGCTGTTGCGGTGACACAAATGAAATGGTAAATATAGTTGTTACTTTTTACTACAAACATCACTGCGCCTTGTCTGTGTTTGGTGTTTTATTCTAGTAAATCTGTTTGGGAGATTATTAACTTTGAAAAAATGTGTTTTATGTATTTTTTTCCTTTTAATCTGAGAAACGTGTGGAAGAGGTGGGTTTTATTTCTTTTTAGCCCTGCGTCCTTTGTGCAGGTATTCATTTCAAGCTGTGTTTGTAACTTGAGATGAAGCGCGGGACAAAAATAATCTGTTTGCCTGAACTGCTCATTACCTTGAGCACACAACCAGTATGATGTCAGTGTTCAGAAAATCCATATTTAACAACAATAATGAGCGGAACGAAATGTGATATTAGAAAAGTGACACAGCGCATCTCCACCCATCTTCAGAGGGAACACATCTATGTAGCTGAAATCATTCAAAATCTTTAGATCTTAAAGGGGGGGTATGCTTTCTACCAGCTCTGCACCAACGATGTCGTGGGTGTGGTATTTCATGTGGAATTTCACTTGTGAGTTTGTTCGCCGCTCCTCCAACTCTGCCTTTAGGACCCCCGCTATATTTGGACTTCTTAACCATGCCGAGCACGGCTTTACGACCTTGTAGGAAGTATTTTGTGAATTTTCCACAATTGGGGATGCTTTTTTTGCTCCCAAAAATGGGAGCAAAAATGTCTCGCTGAGTTTTGTGTAATTTTTTTTTATAAAATAAAGCAAAAAATCTAGAAAATTAACCTTTGATTAAATACTGTAAGCATAAAGTCTTGTGTTCAATTATTTCACTTGATGCAGGCAGTAATAAGAGTATGTTAAAAATGCAAAATGTGTGGAAGAAGGAGTTGATGTTTTGGAGTTTTAAATTACCACTACATGCTGTACTTTAAACCCCTCACAGTGTAAAATAACTTTCTTCATAGCTGGTGGAATCCTTTGAATTAATCTTCAGATTTTTCAATGAATTATTAGTGTTTTTTTGTCGCTTTGCTCGTTTGAACCTGTTGGCTCAGGGTTCCAATTAAACCAGGAATCATTACATCTCTGACGAAATCTTTTTTAGTAGGTCAAAGCCAAGCCTGTGGGAATAACATCTAAAAATGGAATTATGCTTTTGAATAAGACATAAGCAAGGGGGAAATCTTTTTAAAAAGTGAATAGAGTGGGTGTGTAACACATACAGGAAGTGTTTGGGATGTTGGTTTATGGTTTTTGAATGTTTGATGCCCTGGTGACCAGTGTTGTGTTCAATTTGTATTTCTCAGATTAAAGGATCATGGTCGGGAAAAAACAGAGTCCAGAACCCGTATAGCCACAAGAACATCTTCAAAAACTGCTGTGAGGTTCTCTGTGGACCAACATACCCGAGGTAATGTCAGATCCAAGGCTCAACATGGTCTCACGTGAAACTGGGCGACTTATTTTGTATGAAACACCTGGCTTGAATCAGAATGTCACATCTATTGTTGTTTAATTCATCATCATGCTAAAGTTTATGTCTTTGCTGTTTTCCTGCTGTTATCAATAAGTTCTGTATCGGTGTCTGTGAAAGATTAGACTCTTAGATTTATCGCTCTCCTGTGCATGGCTCTGGTGAATAACGATCAGGCTGAAGTAAGTGACTGATTGCCTCGTCTCCCTCTGCAGCGTCTTGGACAGAAGAGGACTGATGCAGGACGATATGCCTGTTTCTGCAACGCCTGCTGCACCCTCCTCCTCCTCCTTGAGCAGCAGCAACCCAGTGCCACAAACCACGGTGCGATCACACACACGCACACACACACACACAGAACCCCTTCACACACTTCCATTAAAGTGGATAGAGGCTGCAAAGCACAGAATAGCGATGACAGTGAGTATAGGAGGGCAAAGAGGACTTCTCTTTTCTGTAATCCATGTTGTGATCTGGATGTGGAGCCATTTAGTGGCTTTTCTGCTAATAGAACAGATCGATTCTTAGACATGATTGTACTTTTCTTTAAAATGGACATTTCTGAGATTCTTCCTCCCCAAATGTTTTGGATCTATCAAGTACTGAATGAGTGAATATTTGATTTTCTCTACAAACTGAGCTTCACCTCAGTGTTATTACTTTTTTTCTTTTTTTAAAAAGCCAGTTATTTAAGATGTTGTGCCTAATTACACTTAATCCTGTAGACGTGTAAAGTGACTCTATGTTTTTTTTAAGATAATCCTTCTGCAATATAAGCACAGCAAATCTAAGCAGAAGTCACCGTCCCTGCCTGATATCTAAATCCTGCCTGATCAGTACTGCAGAAATAAACAGACTGCTGCTGATTAGGACTTACTCAAACCTGTTTTTAAACTCCTGGATATGTGCATTACATTTATACATGCAGATTTGTGAATGGAATTGAATCTATTAATGCTGAAAAGTAACTCTGAATTCCTCTTCTTCTACCCTTTAACATGATCATTGAAATGATTCATGCAAATTCCCTAGATGAAGTAGTTATGTACTGGTCAAACTGTAAACAACTGTCACAAAAACATATTTATATTATAACAGTATTTAGGGGCTATTTGATCAAATGTTCATTTTAAATTCTTATTATTGCTAAATAAGCTCTGTTATGTGTTATAAAACTAAAATAGAAAATGCAAATTATATATAGCTAACCACAAACAATCTCAATAAATGTATTTATTCCTTTGAAGCTGTGCTGTGGTACTGTTTTTCTGCATTTGCATCTTTCCATCATGTTATCCTCTGCCTACAGAAAACCACAGCTCCGCTCATCCCCAATGAGCACACACCTGATGATGCCAAGCCGAGCATTGCTGACTCAGCAGAGAAAAGCCCCTCCCCCAGAGAGGAGCTTCCCCCTGCTCAGAAGGTCCCCCCCCTGGCTTCCCCTGAGACCGACGCTGAAACCGCCCTCGCCAAGGACAAGATCCATTAGCTGCATTCAGGGGGCGGGTCCTTGTCATTAGCCCCTCCTCCAGCATCCTGAAACATTAATAATCAACATGTGATTACTGTGCAGGTGACTCTGTTATTCCTGCCCTACATTCCACCAGGAGAGCGGAGCTTTTGCAGCAGCTCCTCCTCTCTCCCCTCCTCCTCGCGGCAGACGCTGCAGAGCTTTTTGATTGACACTTGCTCCTGCAGCAGGAGGAGGGATTTAATGGAAAGTCAGCAACTTCCTCTGTCTTCTGAACACTGCATGGGAAAGACACACAGAGGAAGAACTGCAGAGAAAAAAAACCTCTTCATGCTAATGACATCCCAACAGGTCCCCTGTGGGCTGCTCTAAGTGTTTTTGTTCTTTATTTAAAAACTGCGTAATAACATTTACTGTAAAAGGCCCGTTCAGTATACTCCTTGCAAGTGTCTGGCAAAGACAATATAACTCCTGGACATGTAAAAACTTCATACAGTCAGTTTTCTGTTGTATGCCCATACATGCCCTATGCAAACCATGAGAAGGCTAAACAAGCAGCATTTTAATGAGAAGGGTCACCGATGTGAGTTTATGAATACAGAGCATTTCCAGAAAGGAGGGACATGCAATTTCTCAGCTGATTGATCCTTCCAGTGACGTCTCAACCTACCTTGTGTTCTGATATTGCTGCATTCACTACTGTTACTTGGGTTTATCTTTCTTTTTTTTCACAAAGCGATATGATCCAGACCAGTCCTTCCATTTTTATATAATCAAGGATGTAGTGAGATGTCGGTGCTCTGAAACACATGAAATAGCTTCATCGCTTTAGCAGAGCTGAAGTGTTTGAGTTTGAGAAAGCCGGACTCCTGATGATAGTAGACACTAGTGTTACCAGTGCCTTATCAAAAGCAGACCAACAGAGAAGCCCTTGAAATCTGTTCTAACCGCTGATACAGTGTTAAATATGAATTGCTAATGTTTAGTCCAGTGGTTCCCAACCTGGGGTTTGAGACCCCTATGAGAGGTTGAAGCTAATCTAAGCTGTCATAAGATTTTTTTTAAAGCGATTTTTTTGGGCCATTTTGCCTTTATGACAGGACAGTGAAGACTGACAGGAAGAACAGAGTTAGGGATGATGTGCGGTCGATGTCAAAGATTGGACTTGAACATGTGACGTCAGCAATGCTTCACATCTAACCATAACGATTTTAATTTTTTTTAAACTAAAAAAAAAAGTTTACTGGCTTTATTTTTTTCAAGGAGTTAGAAGAAAAAAATAATTCCACGGTCTTTTTTCCCCTTAATGAGCCTGCCTGCCTTATGTACTACTTATTCACTGTTGTGTACAAATAACAAGCTGTTTTTAGTTTTAAAGAAAGTCTGGAACTCCTTCCTAACTTTCTTCTGTTTTTTTTTACAAGACAAAATCAATGATCTTTATTATTACTGATAGCTGTATTTCTGAACTATGGACAGAACCAGGCTAGCTGCTTTCCCCTTTTTAGTCCTTATGCTAAGCTAGCTCTTATCTAAACTCTACACAGGAAATAAGTTAAAAGGTTTATTTCCTCAAATGTCTAGGTATTTCTTTTAAAAAGGAAAATAAAAATAATTGATCTGATTAGAGAAATGATTTGTTTCAATTATGCAACAATGTTCATTTTCCTCATTATATAAATGTATATTTATATTTGTTGAATTGATCACAGCTTGTGACCTGTGAAAAAAGATATTTCTTCAGTTTCGGAGGTCAAAGACTCCAAAGGTTGGGAACCACTGAATCAGAGTTCATGAAGCAAAAACTAAGCAAAGCCATTCTTTAACTGTAAATAGTTGTATCAAGTGATGCTGACATGAAACCTCTCAGCTAACTTGAGAGGAGGAAAGTTAAATTGAATTAATTTAGTTTGAAGTGTAAGTGCAGACACTGTTAATGATGCTGCCTGTGAGCTTGAGCACCTCTTCCTGTAAATCACTCCTGAGCAGATCATCGTCAGCCTCCTCTCTCCTCCTGTCATCTCCTCATTCCTTAAAGATCTCCCCTCGTATTAACTCCTTCTCTGTACATCTTTGCGGTGACAGTCACTCCTACAGTACGCCTGAGGCCCCTGCAGCTGTCTGTGGCAGGTTTATTATGCTCGAGAATAAAGCCGAGGCAGAGAGAAAGACGTCCAATGCTTTTATTTTGACACGTCTGTGTGTTTCAGACAGATCACAGCCTGTAATGTGGCTTCTTCAGACTTTGTTTCGTTTTGGTCACAGATCACTGGAGGGGACAAGCGAGAGAAAGAAATGAAGTATATTCTAAGTATTTATATGATGTTAGCTGATAGCGAGAGTTTGTAAAAGTGATTGTGTTGTATGCAAGACAGAGTTGGTGTTTGTGAAATATAATTATGTAGGATTTATAGTGTGTCAACAGCAGTGCAGCAGAAATGACTCAAACTGCTCACAGTTTCTCCTGATGACCTAAAAATCTGAACTCTTAAAAACTCAGGCCAAACAGAGAGAAGGAAATGAATTGTAGGATACTGCAGATGCTGTAGTGGAAAGCTGTGAAATGATTTTCATTGTATGTTGAAGCAATGTAAACCTCAAGACCCAGATTAGACAGTTAAAGGTAATAAAACTTTTCTCAAGGTAACTTTTTTAAAAATTGATTAGTGGAGGATTTTGTTGATAATCTGATGAACTGTTTTTTCCATGTGTTAACAGAAAAAATACAGTCGAATTCACTACCAAAAATGATGAAATCTGGAACATGCAAATTCAGATCTATTTTTTCCTTAATAAAATTGTTAACAAATTACTGACAATTAAAATTGAAGAGACAATCAGGTATTTGTGAATCAACCAAGTGGTGAATCCACGATTTTGAGCTCTAGATGTGTTTACTTCTCTACACTGGAGGTAAAAGGTGAGAGAACTAACACATCTCTGATAGTGGCACTATTGTTCGGTTGAAGTAAAAAGAAAACAGAGTTTTTGACCAGAAAAAATTCCAAATGAGTAACAAAGATCATATTTTAAAGCTGAGCTAAGAAGCAGTGGAAGCGTCTGTGGAAGTATTTAGAGACAGTTTGGTGTATTTGGTTACTTTGCTTTGCTGCCACAGAGAATGTATGTGATTGATATTCGATAAATGAAGGGCCGTTTGTGTTGATAAATGTGTAACAAAGCAGATCTTAGAGGGATGGTTGAACTTTGAGTTTGAGCTCTAAAGACTGTAGAGCCAAAGTGTAGCTCTTGTACTGTATGTATGAATCTTGTGTTAAAATGCCATGACGTGGTCAGATCTGAATGCTCTGATCAATCTATTACATTATGTATACAGATACAGTAATATAACATGATGGGACTCTTTATTTATATTCACTTTGTTCAGTATCGACACTGTGACTATATGTATTTCATTCAATTTACTTCACTTCTTTTTACATGATCAATGTGTCTGGTAAATAAACAATATTGTCTTATTATTATTATTTGTCTTGTTAAGGATGTTTTCTTTCGTAGACGTTAATGCTTCTCTGTTCTCTCGGTTTATTATTATTGAATATTCAAGGACTGATTTATAAACATATAGATGTTCCCCAAACTGTTTAATTAATTAATTCTCCTCCTGAGGTCTTCATGTTGAAAAACAGCATTATACCGGGCATAAATATATATATTTTTTTAGCAGCCTGTAATTTGAAGGAAGCGTCTTCTGAAAGAGAAATCAGAACAGCTTTCCTCATCTTTATTTTTTAGGGATCACTACATTTCTTAATGTGGAAGTTTGCATTGCAGCCCTCAGCATCAAATACCTTCAGTGTAAACTAAACTGTATCATTTTTTAAATTATTTCACTCTTCAACCAGGGTAACCATCATTGAGTTTTTAAAATGTTTCAAATACTTTAGTTGTAGCTTTCAATTAGCTTCAGTTGTAGATTGTCTTAAGAGCTAATTAGCCAATATTAGTATGCTAACAAGCTTAACTTAAATGAAGACCAACATTGTCATGCATGTAGCACACTGCTGTTTGCATTTACCTCAACCTCATAAATTACTCAAATACTCAGGCATAAACTGGTTTTGGATGCTGTTTGAAGCAATGTGACCCCTTTTCATTTGATTGATAATTACAAATGTTTGTGTTCAATGACCTTTGGAGTTCCCCAAGGCTTCATACCTAGGCCACTTATGTTCACCATCTACATGTTCCCACAGAACAACAGATTTCTATGTATGCAGATGACAACCAAATATATATAACTGTTTTTACAGTTGATTATAGTCCAATAAAAGTACTGATAAATGAATTCAAATCAATGTGATTGGATTGTCAATTAAACAATAAAAGAATAGTGTAAAAAAAAAAAGAATAAAGGTCCATGCCCTGCTTGCTAATACTATACATTGTACAAACTGTGACAATTTAATTTGTTGAAATTATGTTGCAAAAAGAGCCAAACAACACCAAACCTTGTTGGCTGAGATAATAAGATTATAACATTTTAAACACCTGAATAAAGTTTAATTCAAGATCTATTTACAGCACTGTTAACATTCCTCATTATGACACAATGTACCTCCTAAAACAGGTTCAAGCACACAATCCAGTTTCAGTTCAAATCCTATTTGTTGAAGACTGCACAACATGAAAACATTTACCACAGGATCACAAAGAACGGAGAAAAAAATATTAAATGCTTTTTTGGTTCCTTACATGAAAACAGAAACAACAAAAAGTTCCATAATTCCCACAACATTAAATCCATCAAAACATACATCAAATGATTTGACTTAACTGTAGCAGATGCTAACAGATTCTGCTGCCTGATCAACAGTGCCAGCAAACTCAGTAAAACCACATCATGGCTCTACATTATTTCAACCTTACATTGTTTTTCTTTGGCGTCTTATAATGATGAGACATTTCATGGCATTAAACCTCAGTCCACAGAGTTTTTGAGTTTTAGGATTTTGGGTATATTTCCTCCACTGCTCATGATCCCTCATCCACAGTCAGCTCCTGCAGCTGCTCCTGCACAGAATCCAGCTGTTCTGTTTGGTCTTCCTCTTCCTGCTCATGTTTGTCCTCCTCCTGGTTTGTCTGCTCCTCTGCGGCTTCAGCCTGGAGTTCCTCCTCTGTTTTTGGTCCGTTTTCCAGGTTCTCTGAGCTCTCGAAACAGCCTGAATCCCTCGGCTCCTTGGAGACCTCTCCACTTCTGCCCTCCTCCTCTGGCTCTGACTCCTCTTCAGCTACAAGGGCCAAAGAGAATCACTTTTGTTAAACAGAAAGCATAAATAAAACCTCTTCTTTATTCATCCAGGACTCTGACAGATGCTTTCATCTTGTGCACCTTCAGAGAATAAATAAATATACTTGGTGTACTCTCTATTTCTCTTTGAGGTATTATTGGACTCAAGAACTACAGGTGTTGAAGTGCTTTTCATAACCCATGGTAGAGGTGACACCGTGCAACTGAGCCATTAAATGTTTAAAAATTATGCAGCAGAGGTGGAAAAAAATACAACAGCATAAAGTTCAACCTTACGAGACATTTTCTAAGCTGCTTAAACTTGACGTCTGAGTGGTGAAAAGTGACATGGAAATAAGAAACCACTTTTTATTGGAACATTCAGCTCAGATTAAAAATACTAATTCAGAAGAATTATATTTTAAATGGGAATCTAGCCTTTTCATGATTTGAGATGAATAAAGCTTTACTGTGTGTTAACCTACAGTCTCTTAGCAGCTCAGAGGCGTTCAGGATCTTGAAGCGCTGCTCTGGGTCAGTGATGTTCAGCTCATTGAGGTGAGAGTCCCTCAGTCCTGCAAAGTCCTCCAGAGTCTGGAAACCATGCATGGACAGCAGTGAACTCAGCTCCTGAAACACAACAATAGAAACTTTTAAACAGATTTCCAAGAGCATGACGACTCCAACATGTCTTATGATACAAACAGAGTGTAGCTCACGTTAAGACCAAAGCCGTCCAGCACCTCCTCCAGGGTTTTAGGTCTGGAATTTCCTCGGTTGGTCTTGCTGTTGCAGCGTCTTCTCCTGTTGGGGGGGCTCTCATCTGGCAGCAGGTTGACGTAGATAAACTTAAAGGAGCCCACTTTGTTGTTGAGCTTCCCTGTCCAGGTCCCCACAGGGGGCTTTTCAATGATGTAGATGATGTCACCTTTCTGTAACAGAGATGACGCCGAGCACCACGTTTAGTCATCATGATGATGAAAGGCTGAATAAACCCAACCTTGAACCGGGTATCCTTTGGTGCACAGGGAATACAACTCTTGATACTCTTCTGAGCTGACTGCTTGATTTACAAACATCTCTTGGTTATCAAAATGATTCAAACTTGTTCAGAAGAAAGCAAACGAGAATAAAGGCGGAATGACTCAAAATCAAACATTTCAATAACTCCAGACGTTTTCTCTTTGTGGACTCCTGTATCATTTATAAATCAGTTACACAAACTTTACAGTAGTATGTTACTTTACAAGCAGTCAATAAAGGGTCATGTAGTCTAACTTCAACATAAAGAATACTAATCAAACGATCCGCCTCTAACTCTAAGTTAACAAGCTCCTCAGAGGACGCCTCAGTGACACAGCAGAAGAGGCTGAGGGGCAACAGAGACTCACTTGAAGTTTGAGCGACTCCACGTCATAAGGGCTGGGAATGAAGTCAGTGTGGACCAAAGCACGGCCACAGAATGGTCCGTTATAAGAGAGGCCATTCTCCTCCAGCCTCATGCTGTCTCTCTGACAGTAACCGCTGTCCAGGCTCTGTCTGTCACTGCCTGAAGAGGAAGAGAAGCGGCGTCAGATTCATATTTAGCCTTTAGATACAGTTCAACAGATATTAATCATAATGCAAACATGTGCTTGAAAATGTACAGAAGAGAATGTAAGTGTCTAAATAACGAGTATCTTGCCGGACATTATTTTGTACGTCAAAATGTTTTTTTCTTTTCTTGTTACATAATTACTCTTAACAAAAATGTGTCACCTCTATCAGTGGCCTCTATTTGGTGGACAACCATGTCCTACATTTTTAGTACTTTAGTTTCCATGATACTTAGTGGTCCATGATGCTAATGCTTTTTGACAAAAGGAAGTATACTGTGGTCAGTCCCTGCATTCAAAAAGTGTATTTTTGTGTTTGTTTTATGCAAACTATTTGGATATGATTAGTCATACCATTGCAACTTTAACTTTGCTTTCCCTACATCAGTCTCAGTCGTAGTCAAATCTTCCGTCGGGCAGAAGAAAGTAGGTCAGAATAGCTCATAAAAAAAAAAAAAAAAGCAGCTGGCTTGCATAATGCAAAAATGTATCCTGATGTACTAAAACTTCCTCGTAATTTTAGCACACTGTATTTGGGATAAATGGACACACATAGTCACTGGATAAGTTTGATTCTGAATCACTTATTAAAACGTGGCGATTCCATTTAATAATAATAATAATAATAATAATAATAATAATTTATCCTTTATTAATCCCACAAGTGGAAATGTTTGTGAAACCCAATCCACATTAAAGAATTAGATAAATTAATTGGACTTGGTCATGTCCCTGACTCGCTCTTGAACCCGTCTGCTTAATAAGTACACTGAGGATCTCTTACTTCCTGAGAGCTGGCGGCTGATGAGGTTGGGTGTGGTGTCCTCAGACCCCGAGGAACACACAGACGTCCTCTGTCCTGCGCTCAGATCAGGAAGAAAATCTGAATATGTGGGAGACGACTCCTCACCACTCTCACCCTGCAAAGAGAGAGAGGACAACAGAGCAGGTCAGCGCTTTCCTGAGAAGCCATTATTGTACACTAATGTCACATTTGACACGGAGCTATGAAATGTAAAACTTTAAAAAGGTTTAAAGACATTAAAATGATAACTACAATTGGCCCAAATATAAATGAACTACCTAGGAATAAAGAAAAATAAATGAACTCAATGACTGTACTGACATATCACCCTGTGAGAGCCTTCTATTATTTGTTGTCGATTGAAAGAAATATTCTTAATTATTACTAAAAGATACTTAACAATTAGAAGTTTTGGTCAATTGATGTAAGGTAAAATCTGACAATCAAGTTTTTTTCCAAAGTTCAAGATTACATCCTCAACCACATCCCAACCATACTCGTTATTGCTGTAGAAGGGTAAAAATATTTACACTGAACAAGCTGCAATCTGAGATTTCTGACACTTTATCTGGTAAAAAATAAATAATAAAAAACATTGAATCAATTAAGCTATGATCAAAATAGTAACACGAAATTTTCCCCTGGGATTAATGAAGTATTTCTGAATCTGATTCTGATACCTTTGTCTAAAAAGAATCCAGCACAAGATAACAGTACAGACATTTGTCCACTAGATGGAGACATTTACATATTTCTGTAAAAACGACAACAGCACTGTACTAACTTAAAGAGCTATGTTTTTTAATAAAGCTGTTTAGTTAAAAAACCTTGTAGATATTTTATCCTAGTTTCACTGTTTTTATACGGTGGTTATTATATGTTATTCAGGTTAGTGTTGAAGGTACTGTGAACAGGATTTACCCCCTCCTCAGCCAGGGCCTTCTGCACCATCTTGGATGTTTTGCGGGTCATTGTGCGAGAGATGACATTGCGCCACTTCTTGCCCAACTTGCTTCCACTTTTCATTGCCTCTTCTGCTGTTACACTGTCTGAAACCTGAGACGAAAGTCAAATAAATCACTATTTCAAAAGTCTCAAAAGATGTCAGATGGTTAGATCACGTGAAACAAACTCAGTGTATTTACATTTTGTATAACATCGACTTTGCCACTGTTACAAGTCAACTCCCAGGCTCACAAAACCCACAGACTCTGTGGTAGTTATGTTTTGACTACACACATACTGCTGATACCCACAAAGTAACAACACACACTCAGAGGCAGGCACACACACACACACACACACACACACACACACACACACACACACCTGTGCTTTATTGTGGGCGGTAGACTCAGTATTGAAAGCTAACGATGTAACAATACTTTATGAGGGTACAGACATAGAGGTCGAGTCCACTAAATTTGCAAGGAAAATGAAGCAGAACCGTTAGATTTAGAGACAATACAAAGTTAATTTAGAGAGATAGTTTGAGATGATGGCTCCCTAGGACTTTTTAAGTACTTTGAATTCAAATCCTGATTTCAAACTGAACATTGGCAACCCAAAACTTTTGTAACATTTTCTGTGAAACATTTCAGTGAAGAGAGAAGCTGCAGTGTGAAACATGCAGTAAATAACTGAATAACTGATATGACAAACACCTGTCTCACCACCACAGAGACCGGGGGGGGGATGTAGCAGCTGAGTATGGAAATAAAAATGCATGACATTTGATCAAAAATGTCTGAATTCACTGGGGTATGACCACCAGACTCTTTGTTAAGCGCTCGCTGCTTCTGCTGTCTGCCTGATGCTGAGGCTCTGTGCTTGACTGGCTCATGGTGTAGAGGACATCCTGTCTGCCCGCTGCTGACGTCTTGGCTCTGTGCAACGCTTCTTCTGCTTACTTCCTCTCTACTTCTGCACTTCTACGCTTCTTTCTCTTCCAACTTCCACTCACATACAGAGATAACTTACTGGAAAGGTTTTTAAGTTCTGTGAGTATTTTAGTTGTGTTAAAACATCCACCCACACGTGCAGCCGCTTGATAAATCAGGAAGTACAAACTGTGGACTTCTGTAACATCCGTAACGGATCAACATTTTTGCACTCTGGTCTCTTCTGCAGGAACTTAAAACAAAGAGCTCAGAAAATAGCTACTTCTATTTTTCGAAACAAGGATGTTTTATGTTCATAATGACTGGCTCGTGTGTTTTAGGAAGGTGTTTAAGAGGAACAGTCCGACTCACATTCTCCTCAAAGTTTAACTCCTTGTCTGACGCAACAGGAGATGCAGGTTTGTGCTTCATAAAATCCTTGAAGCTGCTGGACCTCTGCAGGGAAAGCTGGAAACACACAAAAAGTTACAATTATTTAAAAAGAACAAAATGAATAACCAGGCAACTACTAACAGCACAGGCACATTGATACTGGTTTGTTGTTTGGGGGTTTAACACTGATAACACTCATCTCACAGTTCTGCACATTTTTTTTATTGTTTAAAATATGTGAACTGTTAACATTCACAGAGGGATTTCTCAGAAGAAATGACAACCTCCCTTCACAAAGTGATCCAAAATAAAATCATCTAGGTCATTAAATATTTGCATGTTGCAGACGTCCCTGTATAGCTGCTTCTGAAACAAAAATACAAATTGATAGAAACTGTAATCGATAGTTGTGATCTTCATATTTAAAGTCTATGGTTGTGACTCAGAATTCTGACATTTAAACTTAGCAAGGAGACAGGAACATTTAATGTTTTTAAGAAGGTGAATTCATTATTTAAATGTATGTTAAAGTCAGTATGAAAATGCAGGTTTCTAGAATGATAGATGAGAGCAAAGATACCATTAATCTGAAATAAAATCTTCTTCTGGAGCTTCAGCTTATTTCTTTTTGACCTAACCCTCTGATTGTTTTTGTCAATCAATCAAAAACAATTAATTGGGTCACCTCAATGATAAATAATTCTAACAATTGTCTAATTTAATTTAAAAGGCCTCTAATTTGTGTGGGTTGAATTTTTTTTTTTTTATTGAAACACACAACAATGAATCATTTTCAAAAGAGCTGACGATGGAACAAAAATCAGACTGTCATCTACATAATGCTCAAAAATGACAAATTCAGATGAGCAGAACAGGGGAAGTTCCCTCCTCTTTGACATGGTTATCTCCTCTTGAGAGTTTCTCTTATCTGTAGTGGAAATTCTCCGACTTATTTTCCACTTAACCGCATGTCACTGTGCATTATCTTATCGCCGATCATCCTTCTCGAGTCTGGCTTGAAACCACAGGAAACGGACAAAGCTTGAGCAACTGCCAACAGCGAGTCACTGCAGACGTGTAGTTAGTGAGTGCAGCAGAAGGTCTCTGCGTCTGAAGAATTAAAACCTACAGTGCAGTGAAGGGGACAAATGGCCTTTATTACCACAAGGCCTCTATGAGTTTTGTTTTGAATGTCATGTTTTCTTGCCACAATGTTTCTAAAGCCACAAAGCTTTCTGAGAAAATCCATCTTCTGCAGGACAGAGACTAGACTGCAGCCTTAGTTATTACCGGTGACTTTTATATGCTAGGAGATGATTGCAGAGAAAACCAAGATGTGTAAAGATTGTGTGTGAAATTAACCACATGTGGGGAGATGTGGATGGGAATAAGGGCATATGGAGGCCCACGCTCATGGTGATGGCTGCTAAAGACGAAAGCCACAAAGTCTGCTGTGAGTCAAATAACATCTGCAGTGCAATGATTCACCCTGCTAGAAGAAGAGGAACTCTACATTTCTAAAAGAGCACAATGATTATTTTGAAGCAAGAATGTAGTTAGCTGTCAAATAAATTCAAGAATTTAAAAAGGTACTAAGGGTCTAATCCTTTAAGTTTGTGTGTTCATGTGTGTGGGTTTCTGCTTAACCACAAAGTTTGCAGGAACTTGAGCAGACATCCTGTGTTGAAAAGATGTGCACATAGAGACAGCTGGATGTGTTTCAAAGGTACGGCAAAGACCTCTCCAGGATCTATAATATTTACATTAATGAATAATTTTAAATTTGAGAGCTTAACCTCTAAACTTTCCTACTGTCTAAAATGAAACAAAGGAACTCACCTTCTTCTTCTGCGTCTGCTCCTTCTCAGAGGCATTGGAAGGCCGTCGCCTCAACATCTTTTTCAGTGGTCCTTCAGAATTCTCTGGACCAAAAGAACGATACACCAGGCTCAATCAGAGAGGATTTCTATCGCCGAGCTGTCAGTTCCAGAGCTGTCAGATAAGAAAACACAGCGGGAGGTAGAGCGGCACTCTGCAACAGCTAAAAGAAGTGCAGAAGCACAGAGAGGAAGTCACATGGCCACACAGAAACTGAAGCGTCAACCCCTGTTTTTAGAGCACAGGTTTACACACAGCTCTGCAAGCTAGAAGTCTCTGTTGCTCTAAACAGAACTGACAATCACAAAACAGCACACGGAAATGTCCAAGCAAATTAGTTTGACTGTTTAGATTAAAAATTACAGTAAATCGTTTTCGCTTTCAAACTTGCCTCACATTTAAAAATATTATTTACCTCTGGTTCTGTCAGATAGAGCTGAAACCAATGATCTACTGATTACTTTTAGCATAAAAACTAAAATAATAAAAATCCTTTTTCCCGTTTTTAAGTAAGATATTTGGCCGAAAAATCAGAAAACACTGTGGTTACTTCATCATAGACCAGGACAGAGTTTGTTATCTTCACACTGGAAACCCAGCAAATGCAAAAAAAAAGGAAAAACAAGACATAAATGATCCAACCAATACAAAAACAAAAACAAAAAGTTGATTTTTTTAATCAAATTAATAACTGTTTGAGGTCAACTCAGTGTAGGGATATCGTGAGCATGATTTAAGGCATGTTACCTTTGGCATTAGTAAGAGCATGAAATCCTACAGTTTGCACAACGTCCACACTCCCACTGACACCAGTTTTACAATTCAGCAGAAATCTGAAGTAAATTTGTTAACAGAAAAGATCTCTATCATGCAACACAGCAGGTTTTGAGTTTTTCATCCAGCTCTGTGTGTTTGCAATGTCCAGTGCAAAACATGTAGTGATTGTTTTTTTTTTTAACTTGTTCACTGTAGTTGTCAAATGAGTCTGAATCTGTCATCACAGCTGAAGTGTGGAAGTGAAAGAAATCTAAAGATGACAGAAAGAAACTCAGTATGGGCTTTGCAGCTGCAGTGCGAGGCTAGCTGCAGCTTACAGAGGTAAAAATAATAATAATAAATTAGATTTATATAGCACCTTTCTAAATACTCAAAGACGCTGTGACAGGAAACAACAACAAAAAAAACAAAGCAAAAACTAAGAGAACAATACAACAGAGAAGTAACGTAAAGGGAGGGGGATGAGATGAGACAATCAATGCTAAACAGTGTTTTATCAGACAAATGAGAGACTAGCTAACACTTCCGACAGTGTAGACTCTAAAGATAAGCAACACGAGTGAGTCACAGAAATGTGTGTGCCTCTGACTGTAGGACAGGTCAAACACTGGCAGTGAGGGAAGTACAACTTAAAGTCAAGTTTAGCTTGTTATTTTGGTGAAGAAGAAAACCACATGATACGAAGAGGGTGCCCTATTTAAGCTTCCTGTCACACGAGTCAAGACTGGCAAGAAACACTGATCCGTCTGCACATCGTATACAGTGTGTCAAAAACAAAAAAGCAACACATGAAATAGAAAATTCATATTCTTTACTGAAGTAAAAGTAGAAATACCACACTACCAAAGTGTTATAACTAAACATGACACATCTGAAAAGGAAAACAAACATTTAGAGCATTAAAGATAAAAGTAATCAATATGCAGAATGTTAAGAATACTTTTATAGCCATATGTCATAACATTGTAGACACATGTATACATTTTATTGTTATGAGTATAGATATTGTGAGGGTAGTTTTTAGGCAATGGTGTTTATACAAATTTGATGTTTTTCATAAACCAAAAAACATCTGCAAATATACTCATCATTAAAGTAACAATAAAAAAATGTGTTTTTGAGTAAAAGAATGCCAAATTTCCTTCAACAGTGAACTATAAGTGTAAGGTAAAGGGTAATGAGACTGGTAATAAACCCTTAAAGGTGCCCTGATTACTGTTTAACCACTAGTTGTGCTATGGAGCAATGTTCTGATAAGTGGGCCATTGTATTGTTTGCACTCTGCGGTTCACACACAGTTCACATCATGCCAGTTTTATTGTATTATTATATGGACAGCTGGTAGAAAGGCAGAGAAATACAAACTAAGGCACATAGGACTAAGAAGAAGACTGCTCACTGGTAAGTATGTTACTACAGAATTGACAATTCTTCAAATCTGCTCAGCAAATTCTTTATGAAAGGGAAAGAACTTCATACAGTTTCTTTGGACACAAGATGAATGTAGGTCAGTAACCCTTCATATAAACATAATGCACCATTGCTTATTAACCATCATCTCATGTGATGTTCGTTTACTTTCTATCGTGCCAGGAGGACGCTGACCAACACAGATGAAAACATGTGAAGATGTTGAAACTTAGCTACAGAGCTATCAGAAAAAGAGGCTTTTGTTCATAGAAAACAATGATCTCATGCTGATTGTTCCTCTTTTTTTACTGCCTCTTACCACAACCAAATACGCAGAACGGATATGGACCAATATGCCTTTTTTTCTGAAAGCAGTCCCACATAAACTGAGATGCCATGTGATTTAAGTGATGCACGTGTCTGATGAGAGTGCACAGAGGCAGGGTGTGGGGCAACATGTTCACACCATCAAGATGAGCTGTAAGAACAGTCCCCTGGCAATCAACGTTTGTGGGCACGAGCTCTCCAAATGATGAAGAAGTAAAATTCAAAATATCAACATAATTTATATTTTATCCCCTTATTAGCAGATTTACAGAAGGATCTATCTCCTGTAAATATGAAGCTACCGCTAGCTGCCAGCTAACTTAGCTTAGCACTAAAACGTTCAATTGCGGGTGCTACACATGTTCTGTGACCCATCAGATTCTGCCATGACATTTTAAACTTTAGCCACATTGTCACTGTAATTATTTTAAAATCATAACCTTATTTTCTCACTTATTTTGCTGCCAGAACGCCTATCCCAAAAGGACCACACATTTGAATATCTATTGTTACATTGGACCCAACAATCTGTCTTTTCTTTCGCTAAAGATTGGCGGTATTGGGGGTTAGCATTTTATAGCCATAGTGAAAACCGTCTGTTTTCTCTGTGCAGAAAACACCAAGTGTGGAACAATTATTGTCGATAAAGACAGTTTTAAACTCTGTGAACACATACCTGAAACTGTTTGTATATCATTTCACAATTCAGAAAGGATGACTGTCACTTGGAATCAAATCCTCATTAATCACTAAAAACATACGAGCTGGTATCAATGTTTCACTCAAGAGAGCCTGAACAGGAACTTTAAGGATGTATGAAAAATGAGCAGCATAGATTTTCAATCATTGGTATTCACTTTGAACTGAGTGATTTTATGAAACTGTGGGTTTGTTCACTTTATGGTATTCATATTAGCTTAATAATATAATTGGCTGATCTAATGAACAATACGGACACAAATAAACTTTACATCATGTCTCAACACTGATCTACATCTTTTCATGTTGAAATGAGGATGACTTCAGTCTACAATATTGTTTTAAGGAGTGTTACTTTAATAAAATAGAAATTATATCAGCTGGTGATAGAAACATCCAATTACAAACCACAAAGCTAAAACGTAAAAAAATCACACACAAACGATCATTTTCTAACTTTTTATACAATATCAGCATATTCTCCATATAATTAAACAATTTAAATAATCAAACAGGTGTAGCCTTTTTATTTTGAAAAGGCTAAATTGCAGTGCACTTTCAACCTGGTATAGCTGCTCAACAGAGACTGCATAGGGGTAACATTGGTGTGCGAGTTGGAGCAGAGATGAAGATGTTCAGTTGATGTTGTGGAGAAAAGTGACGGTCAGAGCTATGAGGGTCAGCGAGGAGGAGCACACAGAGGCAGAGGAACCAGATGCACTGAAGGGCTCTGTGTTTTTCAGCATCCAGTCCTTTTCCTCGTGAAGTTTTTGTTTGTCCAGCTCAGGACCCACCAGCCTCCGGATAGTGTCGTAGTAATTATTCAGCCAACGAAGCTGGAGGGAAATAAGATCACTACGAGTTAAGGTAAAGAGGCAGCTGGTATTAAAAGAGTCCAGATATAAAAGTTGAACTTTATTTTAATTTAGACGTAAAAAAAGATAAATGAAAATGTATTATATGTATATATTATGAGCACAAAATAATTATTTGTGAGCACAAGATATAAATATATATATTTTTTACTTTTTGGGACTTCAGGAGGTCCGTAGAGGGGTAATGAAATAATTGATAAATGCAAAAAATCTGACAATGGATATAATTTCACAATCTAAAAGTAACAACAAGTTCCAAATGTCAAGTAAACGTGTTTAAACTGAAGAGTCGAGTATAAAGTATTAAGTAGGATAAATTGGAAATACTCAAATTAAGTATTCGACCTCTAAACTGTGCAGCTCTAGAATAAATATGATTGGTCACTTCTCCATCACTGATTTTCAACTCGTTTCTGTTATCTAACTTTTCATCTAAGATCTGCTGTTTGCACAGACAAAAGACTACTATCTCAAGTCTCACAGGAACAGAAAGGTTGAGTGCGTCTGTTTCTGTGAAATTATTCCTCTTATGATAAAAAGAAAGTAAATATAGAAGTTGATTTCACGGGTGGTTTTGTTTCTTCAAGATTGTTGTGATCTCTGAGCTGCTTTGACCTGTAGTGTGAAAGGGGATTTTCACACTTCAAACAGCCTAACGGGTCATCAACAGGCCTCAAACATTGAGGCTGTTTTCCTTTCTCTTCTTGATTATGGGGATGTTATTCACGGTTGCAGCCAGCACTACTTTCAAACCTTTGGATGCAGTGTTTCACTGGGATTCATTACAGGAGACAGGTATGGGACACATCATTGTCTTCTGTATTAAAAAGAAAAAACTGGCCTGCCTGCTTTTTAGAAGAGAGCAGCACATTTATTTCTTTATGAAGCCATTTTAAATGAACTGTAAAAGGTCTCTATCAACTATAGATAGATGGTATAGCCACAACACACACTCACAGTCATGGCTCACCCTGCAGGATCCTAGAATCCACTCAGAGTTAGGAAGGTCTTCTTTTAGTTACTATGCACCACTTTAAGGTATCCACATTAATATTACTGAAACAATTCCAAGTTTTGATTTCTGCTCTTATTGATTTGAACTG